AAGTAAAGTATACACGGACATAGCCGATTATGTATAGTAGGATAGCGCCAATGCGACGACGTGACTTGCAGCAATAGACTGCCACAGCTGGGATGTCACGACCCGCGCGCCACAATCTTCTTGCTGTGGACGATGGGGCGCGTTGAGAGGCGATGGGTTCAGTGCAAAGCCAGCCCATTATTTCGTCTAGAAAGAAGACGGTATCACAACATTCGTATCACTCGTTTTGAAGAGCTGTTGCTGCTTACATTCATCGGCAACTGGTGGAGAAAGGGGTGGCAGTGCGTCAAACCCGTCACTTTTCAATCGCGGAGCTTCTTTCCTCTTTCCTTTTTCCTTCCTCCTTCCTTCTTTTCCTTCCTTCCTTCTCTCTTCCCTCTTCCCTTTCCTTCTCCCTTCCACTGCTGGGCCAGTAGACGCGATGAGAAAATACCTCTGGCCCTCGCAGCGAGAGCAGGTCTGGTTGACAAGTTCCCCGTCACACCCAGCCGCAATGACATATCCCATCATTCGCAGCGAACTAGACTGTAGCTTACACAGTTTCAGTTGTGCAATGAGCTATTCCGTGAGACTTTAAGTCCTCTTTCAGATGCCTATTTATACCTTATCTATCCCTACCAAAAACAGGTACTTGTTGATCTACAATGGGTATGCACGTTCTCGTCAAATTTGCAACCCATCTTCCAGAAATTAGGATATTGGGATCAGGTATGACTTCAGTTCCAGTGTTTGAATCATAAGACGTGAAAATGTAGCCACCACGTTCAAATGGAATATACACCCACTCTTCCCCATCTCCGGGACGAGCGTTAGTTGAGGAATCCCTGCGGGGAGTCGTATTTGGCTCGTCGGGAAGACAAGTTCGTGTTTAGAAAAGTCAGTAGTGACAACGTGAGTGCGGCACAGGGGTTATAAGCGGGCGTAATGAAGCGGTGGTGCCCGTGATGCAATTCAGTGGTAAAACAAAACTCAGTAAAAGCGTAACAAAACTTTCATAAAAATTGAGAAGCACAATCCTCGAAGTTTCCCAGAAGTTTCTGCCCCTTTCCCAAAATTTTTTCGTGAACGAAATTATGCCATTTTGAAGGGTGACAACTCACACGAGGTCAGCTTTCCTCAACAGCAAACTGTTTCGAGTATGAACTCTTAAGATATTTGCAGTCAGAAGGAGGAAGTCTTCTGTTTTTCCGTCCTCTGCTGCCCATGTCATAGC